GCCACTGCCCTGTTGGCTCACATGCCACCATCCCAGGATGGAAGATGCCAGAAATCAAATGCGGTCTCTCTTTACCCTCCCCTCCCCAGTTGCCAGTCAAGGTGCTTTGGGAAACTTAAACAAAAAAATAGATGCAACCTGAGTGTGCATATACAAGGTAGGGATAAGCTGAAAGAATGAGTAGTGATGAGTGATGGCTTCTACCTGTAATGGTATGACACATTATGTCATACTGTTCAACCACTAAGTGGTGCTGCCTATGCAATACCTGGTTTAAAGGAGCCTCGGCTAAATGTAGCAAAGCACTAAAAGCTCCTATAATGAACGCATCTGGTGTGACTATGCAAGTTTGCAGCCAGGCCATAGCCGGAAAAAAATGCAGGACATGGTGTCAAGATTAAACTAAGAAAAGAGACAAAAGGAACAAACAAAATTTGCAAAATTTCATCAACCTCCCCACTCAGTACTCAGAGATATTTGCCATTAACAAGACTTCACCATGGACTGACTAAACAGTTATTTTGCAATGCTTTGAATTACCAACAAACTTCACAAAGAAACTGGAGATGTTCCAGTATCGTCTCTAAATTTTGTTGTGGGAAAACAAGAACATATATTTAAATCCTTTGACATTACTGAAAACAATAAAAAAGATGACCATGAAAGAGTTTTAGTTATTGTGGATGTAAACTTTCTATTGCCAAGAAATGCTGTGTATGAAAGAGCATGTTTTCATCAGAGAATTCAAGAACCTGCGTAAATGCTGAATCTTTATAATTGCTCTGCATGTATTGGCTGAAAACTGTGATTTTGGAACTGTAAAACCTGAAAATATCAGAGAGAAGCTATTTATTTGGTTAATAGGCTAAACCTTTCTCAGGAGCTGTACATGTAGAGAAATGTAGACAAGGTCAGATCCCAAGACATGATGCACATCTAGCCAAAGGTGCACAGTGTAATAAATGCATGAAATGTGGACATTTTGTAGCTGTTGTCTGCACTGAAGCAGTAGGGTGTTGATCCTATGGTCAATCAAGAGTCAGTATTTCTTGGATCTATCACTTGGTTTGATATAGGGTCTGCCTGGAGAGTGAAATTGGATCGTTATGGCAAGACTGTTAACTTCAAAATTGGTTCAAGAGCTGATATCACAGTCATTTCAGAAAGGACTTACATTCATACTCAACCCCTCTCAGAGCTGAGGTCACCTGACACAGTTCTGATTAGCCCTGGAAGTATTCTGAACTGCATAGGGCAGTTCACCAGAAACAACTTAAAAGACAAAAGCTATGCATTCAGAGTATATGTGATCAAAGGACCACACTCACAGCCTTTTCAGCTGCAATTTGGCAATATTGTAATAGCAGAGACACTATCATGAAGCCTAGCCTCACACTCAGCTGTCAAAAAGGAAAACAATTCATTGCCCAGATCATTTGTGATGAAGATCAACAGTTGAGAAAACAACAAAAACCATCATCTATAGTTTGTTCCTCAGAAAAACAAGAGGGGAAACTGTACCGAGGGCAGATGCGGAACAAGAAGATGGTAACTTAAGGATTTTAAACCAACCACAACCAGTTGTTGCAACTAATAAATAGCCAAGTGATCAAACTGTTACATGTTTCAGTTGTATAATTTTAAAAAGTAAGATATAGAGATAATTATTCAACAGTTTATGTACTGAACTTCAAAGATAATGGGATAGTATAAATATTGTAAATGAGAGGAATGTAGAACTTACAGGGGCAGAGGTAATGAAATGCTAAACCGTATTATTCTGTTCAACCACTAGGTGGCACTGTGTGTAAAATAGGCTATTTAAATGAACCTCAGGCATACCTACCAGAGCATTAAAGGATCTTATGATGAACACATTTGCTGTGAATAAGCAAACTCTGTAGCCAGACCATAGCTCAGTGGTCTCCAAACTATGAGGTGCACCTCCGTAGGGGCGTCATGGAGGAATGTCCAGAGGAGCAGTGGGGCCAAGGTGAACTCCCACAATGGGGTAGGAAAGTAGCACCACCCAGCTCTGCTGTGCCCCAACTCTGCTCTGACCCCATTTACCAGCCACCGCTCTGGCCCTGGCTCTGCCCAGCCAATGCCCTGTTCCCGGGCACAGCTAAGCCCCTGCTCTCTGGCCCAGGCCCCACCTTTGAACTCCTGGCCCATGCTCCCAGCTGACCTCTGACCGAGTTGCGGCACCACTCCTGGCCGGGATGTCATGGACATATTCTATCACTAGGGAGGGCATGATAGGAAATGTTTGGGGACCACTTCCATATAGGAATGTTAAGGACTAGTCGACTAGTCGATTCCCCAGCTAGGGGGGTACTTCACAGGGGCAGCACTGCACATCTGAGCCCGGGATCAGCTGTGCAGCACTGTCATGCATGGAGCCCGGGATCAGCTGGGAACTCCCCAACTGATTGTGGGCTCCAGCATGGGATTTCCATGAAATCCAGGATCAGTTGGGGAATCCCCAGCTTGCCCCCGGGTTCTGGGGAAATACTGCCCGGGCTGATCTTGGGTTCTGCTGAAATGCTGCACGGAGCCAGGGATCATCAGGGAAGTTCACAGCTGACCCTGGCTTCATGTGGCATTTCAAATTGACAGTGCAGCATGGAGCCCAGAATCAGCAGGGAGTTTTGTGTTCCCCGCTGACTCCAGGCTCCATGCTGCGCTGCTGCTTTGAAATGCACAAGAGCCCCTGCTGGCATGCTGTGTGCAGCCCGGAGTCGGACTTCCCGCTGGCCCTGGGGTGCACATGGAGTTCCGCATTCCTCCTTTGAAATGTACAAGAGCCTGTCAAGTAGTCAATGGAAATTCCATTGACTACTTGACTAGTAAAATAACCAGTAGTTAACATCCCTATTGCCATAGCTGGTAGAGAGACTTGACACTTTCCTCCTAAAAGAACAGTAAGAATAAATAGGTTATCAACACCATATTGTTTTAGATTTCTACCACCCTACAGAGTATAAGCAAATGTTAGTGTTCTTATGCACTATCAGGCTACGTCTAGACAGTGGGGCTATTTTGGGATACCAGAAGAATTCCAAGATAACAATTGGGTGTCTTTAAACGTGTCCATTATTTTGAAATAACTGGCATGCTATTCTGGTGTCCCTGTACCCCTCATTCCACAAGGGTTAAGGGACTTGTCAGAATAGCACTTTAATTTTCAAATAAGCTATTTCAAAATTACTTCAAAATAAGCTATGCAATTTATATAGCACAAATTGCGTAGCTTATTTTGAGGTAAGGGTTCTGTGTTGATGTATCCTCAGTGTTTTTCTGCTATTGCAACATGTTGCCTTTACAATATGGATAATATAGCTTACAAAACCCCACTAACATACAGAAAAGAGTACACTAAGAAGTATAACAAAGTAATTCAATCTTCTGATATGACCTCACTTGGAATAATATATAAATTATTGCCATATTATTTAAAAAAAAACTCCTGTTATTTATACAAAAGAGGAAAAGTTGTGTCAACAAAAAGTTTATCCTGTGACTGTAAGGAGGTACAAAACCCAGTGCAGTCTTGCCCAAAATGTTATTGAAGTGAAGCAGCTCTTTTACAGCAGTTTTACCCACGTGAGCATAAGCAGAAAAGGAAACATTAAACTGCAGTGATATCACATAAAGTAGGAAGAAGGAAGTAATTTTCATAAAGAGGCTGACATACAGAAAGATGAGTTATTAAACAAGATTATGTGGCAACCCTGCTGCAGTATTTTGAGAAACAATAAGGTGACATCATGAAGATTATAGTACTAAAAAACAGGAAGGAATCATGATGACTAATTGTCTCTCCATTCTTCAATACTTTTACTGCATTCTCATGTTGGTAATGAGATTCTCAGATGTAATATATTCTACAAGGAACGTCAGGAAATAGTTGCAGCCTTAATGGTATATAAAAACATAGCTGCATATTTTGCTGCATGTTCCTAACATACTTAGAAAAACATTTTTAAAGACCACTGGACTTCGTTAGCATGGAGCTATAGCTCCTGATGAGGGTGTCAAAGAGAATAAAGGATGCAGGTTTCTGGATGCAGCCTCTTGGGTGAAAAATGAGGCATGTGTGAGGGACAGTCTGGCAGTGAGTGCAATTGAAAGAAAAAAAAATTGACACTTTGAAAACTGCCTGCTGCTCTAATGGTGGGTTGCAATCACATTTGA